CTCTCTCTCTCTCTCTCTCTCTCTCTCTCTCTCTCTCTCTCTCTCTCACACACACACACACACACACACACACACACACACACACACACAGTGTTGGTCAGCTACTCTTGAACATGGGTCCTGTTCTGGAAGGTGGTTAATACACCCTCTCTTGGTAGCTATCGGTTGTGAATAGCTTCTTAGCTCTTGGTGGGACCTGGGCCCACGCCTCTCTGGGAGTTTTTTCCCTGGTCTGCAGTGTCTTTATCCTCCTGGAGGTGATACTGAACAGTGACCATCTTTTCAAGATTGCTGCTCAGCTGCTGATGGCTGAAACTATTCAGAAAATGGAAGCAAGATTAGGGATTTTTTTGGATCCTACCCACAATTTCCCAGTGTCTCCCACCTTGTTGCTCCTGCACACAGTCACTGGAGAGTGTGGTTTCTACCTCCCATTGTTCTGGTTTTGGCCAGCACTAGCTTCTCACTCTTAGTTAAGTTTTCTCCCACCTGAAAAACCCAAACCAACAACTGTTATGACATCTGTGGGTCTGCCTAACCTCCCCACCCTATAGACAGGGTTTCATCAGGCCAGGCTGATCTCAAACTTGCTATGTGTCTGAGGATGGCTTTGAACTTCTGATCCTCCCCCCTTCAACTCAACTGGAATTATTAATGTGAGCCACCATGCCTTCGTTATGTGGTGCTGGGTGTCCAACCCAGAGCTTCGTTGCAAACACTCTGCCAATTGAGCTACGTCCTCAGCCTAGTTCCTCTTTTTAAAAAAAAATAAAAATATTTTAATTAATTAATTACTTTTGTGTGTGTCTGTGCATGTATCTGGGTATATGTATATATTTATATGTGTGTGTGTCTGTGCATGTGCCTGTGTGCGTGCCTGTGCATGTGCCTGTGTGTGTGTCTGTGCATGTGCCTGTGCATGTGTGTGTGTGTTTCTGGGCCATGGTGCTCAAGTGGAGGTTAGAAGTAAATTTTTGAGAGTGGGTTATTTCCTTCCTGGGTCCAGGAGATTGAACTCAGGCTGTAACCTTGGCAGCATGCACCTTTATCCTCTGAGTAATCCTGCTAGCCCCCTTAGCCACTCTTTTATTTACATACAAACCCAGCTTAGGTATATAAACCCACTCGGTTTACTTTTCTAAAAATAAAATGCAATAGTATAATTGAGTAAGTGCCCTCAGTTCAATGTAGCATTAACAAGGGCTACAGATCCCACACTCTATTTATTTATTAATATTTTATTTTACTTTTTGTTTTTCAAGACAGGGTTTCTCTGTGTAGCCATGGCTGTCCTAGAAACTCACTCTGTAGACCAGATTGGCCTCAAACTCAGAGATCCACCTGTTTCTTCCTCCCAAGTGCTGGGATTAAAAAGATGTCTGCTGTTACCACCTGGTCCCACACTATTTTGAAGAACTAAC